CTATTTTTAGAATGCTTAACTTTTAGGTGTGCTCGTCCTTAAGTTATTTGTTTTTTGTTATTTTTTGGCCATTTAACAATTATATTCAACAATTTTATAATGAGCTCGAGGCCATTTTTAAATGAAAAATTTATTGTGGAAAAGCAACAACAATTTGAAAAAGATTAAAAAATATACACATGCCCATGCGGCTTATAGAAGCACAGGGACCTCCTGCCAAATTGGTGTTGGAAAAATTCAAAGCCGTTTTCTCAGCTAACGAAGGCCTAGAGGCAATAAGGCGTGTGGATAAAATTATAAAGGGCGAGGAAAACGCCCTTATTCCTGATAATATGAACTTTTCAAACGTTCCATATTTAAATTGGGCTCCAATTGTATCAACTTACGTCGACCGCACATTTAGTAAATTCAAGGCTTTTTTTTGCGAAAATCTAATGAAAATGCTGCCAGAAAACTTCAAAATGCATCTTGTGGTTCAATGTTACTACAACTATACAGATTGAAGTTTTATGAGTTAGAAACTTGAAGGGATAAAATGGTCAAAGATTCAAAGTACAAATTTTTCATATAATGAAACTAGTTCATAGTTTTTCTCTTTTTACTTGTTATAAAAACATTTCTAAAATAAATGTATTTTTTGATTATTCTTCGTATTTTCTGTCTTTTTAGTGCTTTATTTTGCAATACCTAGCGCCTTTTCCTGCCTTTTTCGCTATTTTGTTTTGCCTTTTTTTGCCTTTTTAGCAGTACCTAGTGACTTTTCCTGCCTTTTTCGCTATTTTATTTTGCTTTTTCCAGCCTATTTCGTTATGTTATTTTGCCTTTTTTATAGGTTTTTAGGTCCTAAAAATCCGTTCCCTAGTGACTACCCTTAATAATATACATAAGCCATTCAAAATGTATAGTGCAGATGCATACAAAATTGGCCAACTAACTTCTGATAAACCGATAGTTGTATAAACAGGGGCAAAGAGGAGGGTTTGTTTTTTCTTTATCACGATACAATGATATTGGAACTGAAAAATAGTGAAAAGTTTGAAAAAGTGTTTCTTAATAAATAAACTTTTTTCTTTTAAAGGAGAAGTACCTTAAAGTAAATAATCTTGAATTGCCCTTTTCGCTTGTAAACGTTATATAGAAAACCCAATAAAGGAAATAAGCTATCTGAATAAGGTAGCTGAAAGTAAATGAGATTATAAATTACAAGAAATGCACGTTTGATTAATTATTTATTTCGAAAATTTTTTATGAAAGGGTATATCGAATTGATCAAAACGTCGAGCTGAATAGGTTTATCCATGCCCGTCTGTCTGTTCTCCGTCTTTCTGCTTAAACGCAATCTATGACCTCAGTTTTCGTGATATCCACTGGAATTTGGTAAGCGAGTGTATTAATCATTTGTCGGAACTGAAAAAATCGCACCACTACAGCATATAATTTCTAAACAACTGACCGTTCAGATATGATATTTTTGGTTATAACTCCATTTATGCATCTATGAGCATGAAATTTCGCGCTACTTTCACTTATTATCAACAGAGAGTTTACAGTGAAAGAAAAAACAAAGATCGGGTCACTATAACCTATAGTCTCCTCACAACTCATTGTTCAGTTATGGGATTTCATTTTAAAACTTTGGAAAGCAAAAACCCAGCCATTTCGTGATCTATTTTCTAAATAATCATAATCTATATGCTATATCTCGCATATCACTTATTGAATGAAAATCATTTATATCGTTTCCCGGCCTGTTCCGATGTCCCGGCACTTATACCAAGCTAAAATTAAACTACTCAACCATCTTGTTTAGGAATCTGTGGCAGTATGCTACGATTTTTGAATTGAATGTGTCCGAGTCAAGTGCGTTGAGTTCCGCCTGATTGTCTGAGTAGATGCAGATGTTGTTACACATGACATACATATGGGATGAAGATTGTATACCTTGGCCTTGGTACAAAGTGCGCGGACTTATCGCGGCCATCGTATGACTCTCTTGCCGGGTAGTTCCCGTAGCCTAAAAGCGGCAGTTTTAAGTAGACCTTCATAAACGCAGAGGAACGCAGTTCTTTGCACCTCTTGAAGTGCTTGGGTTGTAGATTTCTTGTTGAGATTTGTCCACCACCACACCAGCACTCTGCAAAATAGGACTAACAACCACGATATATAACCAATGTATGATATTAGAGTATTGCCCCCAGCTCCCTCCAATTGCTCTTGTACATTCTGCACACAGCTCAGCCTTTTTTCCAATACTATGCCTAAGTATTTGGCGGATTCCTCTAGCTTCAGCGCCGTATTGCCTATGGCAGGGAGCTGCAGTGGTCCATCTTTCAACTAATCTTAGTTTAATCTGCATGATTTCAAAAAGAATTAGTTGGAATTTTCCACTCAGTACCACCACAAGGACGTCAGCATTCGCAATGACCTTAGAGCCCCCTTTCTCATTAATGGCTTGCAGCGGTTCATTACTCGCCATAATCCGCCAGCTGTAAGTCGATGACCAGATTCGTTAGAGCCGACGTTATTGCCGCAGCCGTTATATTGTTGAAAGCACCCTCGATATCGATCCAATTGATGCAATGCTGTTCAGTCGACTTTCTTTTCATACAGGCATGCTGGGATGTCATAAATTTATTTGCAACCGATTCGGTGAAATAAGATTAAATCAGAAGCACCATTATCTTGAGTTGGAGTGATGATAAAATTATGGACCTAAAATCCTTAGGATTAGTAAGAGAGATGAAGGCAACTCTTAAACTTTGCCAGATCTCTGGAATGTGATTGAGAGTGAAAACTTTACTTTAAATTAAAATGCCATCTGGCTCGGGGTTTTATAAGGTTTAAGTAATCCTATCGCCCAAATTGGTTTTTCGTTGGTAAGAATATTCGCCGTAACTGGCTAAACATTTTTTGCATATGATTGGTATATTCATCGCCTGAAAAGTGCCTGCTTAAAGAAGAGATGGATTCCTCACCAGTTTACGACTATTTAAGCATCTTAACAACCATTGCATATTAACAACCGCTACATTCCGCCGTAAAACAAGTGGGTAAACTGTCTAAATCCTCTCATCAAGCACCTTCCAGTTTCTGATTTTAGTATCCGTATCTTCTAATACGAGGGTTACATCTAGAATTTGCTTGCTGCTCTTAGTCATGAAGGTAGGCTACCTGTAATGCTTATGAATAAATTACATTTAAGTACGAATTGTTCGTTGATTTCAACGCTACCCCAGATGCTCTGCTGCGCATTCGCATCACCTCCCAAGACCAGAACCAAAGTCCCTTCCGAGCGTTCCGCTGACGTTGGAACTATCCTGTCGTGTTCCAGGTAAATCGAGGCCAGTCTGACCTTTCGCCCATTCTTCTCCAGGCTGACGGTCCTCGTCCCCGAACTGAGGCAGAAACAGTATTTGTATTTTGATACTTGCAAGGCTAGAGGCGCTTGGTGAACCTAACGTAGATCAACTTACCATAAATATTGCCTTGGAACTAGCATCTCGGAATGATGGAGGCGGTCCGGGATTCTCCCGTGGTACGCTGACGGCACTACTCGCCATTTCAACCTTCAAGTGGGCTCTAAGTGCCAACTCTTCGCCCTGATTCTCATCCAAAACACCCAGTAGGAACCGGTTCTTTGCTATTTCAGCAAATGAGGGACCTACCATCATTCTGGCTCTTTTCGTCTTATTTTTCGCCACATCGATCAACCCGTTGCGTAACTAGTAGAGCACTATCGTAATTTTCCACTTCATTCGCTTACTTCTTCATTTTGAAAATAGCCATTTCAGCTCTTCTCCCTATACCGCCTTATTGCGCCTGTTTTTATCTACAGCGGCCATAGGGTACACTTTGTCACACCAGCTGCTTCTACGATGTAGAGAGACACTCACTTTCTGTATTGTCCCAGTTATTCACACAGGTAAATAACAGCCGGAATTGTTGTGACTTCATACCCATTTCCCATTGCATTCCGAGCATGAACTTGTATCAATCACATTAGGTTGTTCCGATGTCTGAATGTTTGGCCGACCTTCTCTTGAATATCGCTGAAACTGGACCTGAAAACCCCGGTGTGGAGTTCTAGACTTACATTAATACGAACCACCTTGGCGATTGAGGAGAATGGATGGCGTAAGGGCTTGCGGGCGGGAGGAAGTTGAATTCATGTGTTGACAGATTGTTCAAAAACCACAGAAAACGTAGGGGTAGGTGTCTATTGCCATGAATTAGGAATAAAACAGGTCATTCAAACTACTAAACTACTTTGGCACCTTCCAAGCGGAATTTACGACATTAAAAAAGAACTTCTCAACTACAGCAACGCTTAGAAAAAACTAATTATTTTTTATGTGTTCACAACACCATGGACACAAAGTATCCCGGGCCATGCTTAGGTCACCTCATCTGCAATTGATTGTAGATTTATGGTGAGTCTCGTAATTGGTCACAATTTGTTAGCTAACCACGCGCTTAAAATGCGTTTGCAGAGTGGTGATAACTGAAGTGCGAAACGGAAAAGATAAGGGTGGAGCACATAATATGCCATTGTCGACCCTTGTCAAATTTACGTCTGAACTGCTTTGGGGAGGCGTTTCTCACTTACCTAGAGCATGCAACAAAAGACGGGTTCATCATGGATGGTTGTTTTATCTGCTAACACTACAGTCGAAAATATTTGTCTATGTGAGGCTTTTATTAGCCAGCCAGTCCCACCTACCTATCTAATACGATGCAATTAAAATAATAAGCGATTAATTACATTTTTTCATACATACTTACATAACCGGAGAGTTTTTATTTGTATGTTGCCGAAAGTTATTTAGCAACTGTATATTTTTATGGATTTAACTAAAGTGGATATAAAATATATATTTGTACATGTATACTTATGTTTGGGTATTGGTTGTGCGTGAATATTTGCAAAAGTGTGTTGACTGCCTTACTGTACTGTAATATTTTCTCATGAATACCGCGTTCTTTTCGCTTGAATTAAACATCTAATGAACGACAATTTGCAGTTCGAGCATTTCTTTGCCGCAGTTTGTAAGTAACTGCATTTCGGAAGCGGACAACAACAGCATTTGGCCGCTGTGACAGACATCTTTGACTTCTTGCGAACGCCGCACCGAATACATCTCACCCGAATGCACCATGTGACAAACGGGCACATGACCCGACCGTGACCACACCGTTAAACTGACTGCGACGTGGAACTCTTCTGGCACAATGCCGGTCAACCATATCATCAAGTACTCGGTATTAGCTTCACTCTCCCAGAAATTCGGATACTCGTGTGCGTCAATACCACACAAATCCGAGAGCCGAATACGCGTACTCATCACTAACAATGGCAGAAAATCTTTGAATTTGCTGCTTCCGAGATCGGTAATTTTGTCGCGTATCAGGTAGAGTAAGTGGCATTTGCTATTGCCGCAATGAGCCAACTTCGGGTCGAGAAAGAAATTTTTGCACTGGCGTGGCGCTATGCGCTCCATGGGCAACATGCTGTGATCAACTATCAAATGCTTATTAAAGTCGGAAACGAAGATCATGCGTTGACACGATGACTCAGGACACTTGATGGGCGATCGAGGGATGGTCAGGTGGTAGGCGGGTGTCGGTTTTAAATTAATAAGTCGGCCCTTGGCGTGCAGAAGCTCCGATTCCATAATGTTGGAGCAAGTGACGAGTTGGAATTGAGGAGGTGGCTCGGAACATGGAAAATTGTTCGATTGGTGGGTCACACCACTGAGTGGCTGGCCTATAGGTGGATTGTAAAAGGCGCGATGCGTGTTCGAGAGCTGTGCCATGATATCAATGCTCGGTTTCTCGGCAGGCAGTTCGCATGAGCACGTTTGGTCCAGGTGTTTTCCATTAATCAAAGGCATTGTTGGTTCAACTAATGCAGGTAGCTCCAATTGATCCATTATCTTAAAATACTTCTTCGATTGGTCAATTATGGGCTTTTCACTTACAGTCAGGGTGCGCGGGTTCTCTTGGAATGTCTCTAATACCTTCTGCATGCGCAAATCAATACTAGGGCGTGCTATCTTGTCCGGATTTGGTATGGTGTCAGGTGTAGGTGCCGCTACGCCAACTGCTTGCATTACAAAATAATCAGGCGGCAAGTACTTGGCAGGAAATTCCGTTTTCTTGGTGCTGGCCAGAGTTGGTTCCGATTCAGTGGATACCGAAGCAGTAGCTGTTTGAATGGGTTGGCGGCGATTATGTAAGCCATCTGCAGGCTCACAGGCACTTTCTTGACAACTATGGCTGAATGAATAGGCTGGAAACTGACATAGCGCAAGTGGTCCGTAAGTGCGGAGATAACTCTCTACCAGCTCAGCGGGCTGTGCTGTATTGCGCGACTCGAAATCGTGCAACTTCTTCGTAGATAAAGATTCTTGAGATTCATAGTTTCGACTATGCGTCGTGGTGCTCGTACTGAGAGGCTCGTGCTTTGTTTTTATAATAGGATGGATTGTACCACCGGAGAAGTAGTTTTTCATACTTTCAGTTGACTCCATAAAACGGATCTCTGAAGTATGTATTACGTCCTCCGTCTCCTAGATTTAAAAAAGCGTAAGCGTTATACTATGCTTCATTTTATTTATGCACGTAATTACTTACGTCAGCCCCCACACTTTCTTTCGTTCTCTCCACACCAGGTCCACAGGCACCGTCACACGAAGTGCCGCAGAGATTTGTATGCTCAGTTGTTAGTTGTATGCTTTTAGGTGCTTCTATAACTTCCAATGAATCGCGCGCCTGCATTAGGCGCATGAAACCGTTTTCAGTTAGAAATTGAAATGTGAAATTCGAAGCCGACTGTGGTTGATGATTACTGCCGAAGAATAACGTATCCATTTGAATACGCTCCTGTGCGTTTGGTAGGTACTGATTCATAGACATGGGTATCGACATGGACAAAGACATTGGTGTGTAGGAAGGAGACAACGATGCAGCAGCTGTGCCGGTGGCAGCCCCCGTCGCTGTTGCAGTTGGGATACCATCAAAAGTGTGACTTGGTGTTGGCGCTCGATATTGTGAAGGCAAAATTTGCACATCATCCGTTTCACTTTGGTCTTCGCTCATGGAATCATGCGACTCATGCATACTCAACTGCTCCTGCGAAATACTAGACTGGGTCTCCATGTCGTTGAAGAATGCTTTCGGAAAAATGCATGATGAGGCTGATTCAAGTGTAGCAGTAGTAACTGGATGGCTTTTCACGTCTATACTTGGTGCTGTGGGCATCTGCCCAGAGATAGGAAAATTTCGGGTCATGGGCGATGTGTTCCTGTTGCGGTGATTGAAGTTCATCTGAACAAAGAAGGTGTGCTCCTCACAAATACCGCACTGGCCATCGGTGCGATCATTGCAATCCACGCATTGCATATGCTCATTACCGCACAGATAGCCTCCGAATGGAGTGGTCTTCGGACCTATTTTATTCACTTTGCACGTGGCACAATTCATAATTTAGCCTCACTCTTTCGGATAGACAATGGTTAATGTTTCCAAGCAGCTCGAAATGCTTTCTACAATAGCAGACCACTCTTGCACTAGCAATATTTACTTTGTTTACAATAATTATGTAGAAAATAAAGGCGACTAAATTTTATAAAAACGCGTAAAATTTTGTGTGCCAAATAAGAAAAAGTGTGCTTATGATTGATGGAAGATATTGAAATTAAATGAAAAAGTGTCATGATGTAGACACCTGTGTCAGAATTTGAAATGAGGCAGCACATGAAAAAGAAATCCATTTTTTGGCGATTTTTCAATACTTATGTACATGCATATGTATGTATGCGCAAACATATAAAGGAGCAAATATCCGTCTATGTGAGAGGAGCTTTGAAGTTTATTTTAGTTCATTACATTCCCACCCCAAACTGCTTAATGAGCTCAACTTCTTTCTCATCGCAGCTTCCACAGAAATCATTGTGCGGCGCTTCGCAGCTGGTGGTCATATGGGTAATACATATGGTCCAGTGTATCTTTAGTGTCCCCGAGAGCAGGCGCTTGTTTCGGTTTAGAGAGCTTCAGCAGCGATGCTTCGATTTCTTTTGCCGTGATTAGCCCACATTTTGCTAGTAGCTACTCTTAGGGGCCTATAGGCTTGAACTTTCCCAAGCCCTCTCTAAAATGCCTTTCTCGTGCCTACAGCCCACTATGCCACATCACCTGGTATATATTTATGATATGCATTTTAAAAGAACGAAGTGAATTTTTGGGCGAATGGGATCAGTCATTTAAACGAACTGGGCGGCTATGCCAATCGCAAAAATTTTACGGTGAAAAAATTTATACATATAAGCTAATAAATCTGTAAGCTTCTGTGGTCTTTCAAGAACCGTCAGTTTCAAATGGGTGGTTAGATCTATAGCGAGATGTAATTTTTTCAGTTTTTTCCAATATTGTCGTACACATTCAAAACAAAGCTGATTTGAAAGAATTATCCTTCCGTTATAATAGTGATAATATTATTTTTTTTACATAAAGTTCTATAAGGAGTCATAAAGAGTAATATGAAAGGTTCTCGAGAAAACTGCTAAAATTCATTTATCTTTTGCAAATAAGCGAATATAATAATATGTAGGAACTTTTTTAATGACAGACACGTAACAGATATATATCTTTAAGATATGTACCCAACCTCCACATTTCGTTCAGATTTAGAGAATGTGTAGCTCAACAACTGTATAAGCTTCAAAAACAACGAATTTCCAAACCGTTTTCCGACCTCTGAAATGCATCAAATTTTGGATTAGGTTCTCGCTTCGAAAACATATTCAAACGAAATTTTAAAAGCCACATGGTCTAAGCAAAATAACAAACACTGTCGTTAATAATAGAGCAAATTAAGAAATCTTTTTCGAAGTGAAAATAAAAACAAAAACATAGATGTGTAAAGATAAAGGTAAAAATGAAGACCAAGGTAAATTTAAACACTTTACTTATATATGTATATAAGGGCAAAGGTGAAGGGGAATATGTTGATGAAGAATGATAAACATAAAAGTAAACCCAAAGATGAGGATGAGGATACCGATAAAATTAAAGATGAAGATATGGGAAGAAAGATTAAAATAAAGGTAATTAAACAGGAAAGGATATAGAGATAGACACAGAGACCCAATCTGGGAACTATTTTGGGATTTTCGAGATTCTCTAGACTTATCAATTAAATAATCGAATTTTTATCGGTTTTGTTATCGATATTTATCGATTCCGTTATCGATATTTATCGATTTTGTTATCGTTATTTACCGATTTTACTATCGATTATTATCGATTTTGTTCTCGATATTTATCGACTTTGTTAGCGATGTTTATCGAGTTTTTTATCGATTTTGTTATCGATATTTATCGATTTTGTTATCGTTATTTACCGATTTTACTATCGATTATTATCGATTTTGTTCTCGATATTTATCGACTTTGTTAGCGATGTTTATCGAGTTATTTATCGATTTTGTTATCGATATTTATCGATTTTGTTATCGATATTTATCGATTTTGTTATCGATATTTATCGATTTTGTTATCGATTTTTACCGATTTTGTTATCGATATAAATCGATTTTGGTATCGATATTTATCGATTTTGTTATCGATATTTATCGATTTTGTTGTCGATATTTATCGATTTTGTATCGATATTTATCGATTTTGTATCGATATTTATCGATTTTGTTATCGATATTTTTATCGATTTCCTAATCGATTTAGCTACCAATGGTATTATCGATGTTGCTATTGAAATTTTTATCGAATTCGTCATCGATTTTGTTATCGATATCCTGATGGACGTTATAATCGATTTTGTTATCGATAGAGTATGAAGATAAAAATGAAGATAATGGAAAAACAGAATAACATGAATGTTATTAAAAGGAACAGTGGTAGAGGTAGGGATCTACATTGATAGAAAAAAGCGAAAAAATAAAACCTTAAGCAAAAGCAGATGTGTGTATGTATAGATAGATAAGTAACGTAAGATTCACTTCTACAGTGTGGCCCAGGCGCACTTACTTTTTATACCCGAGCGCACTTGTGCACAAGGGTATATTAATTTTGTTCACATAACGGTTGTTTGTAACAGCCAAAACGAATCGAGATAGATATAGACAAATGTATACATAAATGATCAGGATGAAAACATGTGTATATCTTGGTAACCGCTGTACCAATTTCTACCAAACTTGGCACAGTTGTCGGCCTTCGTACAGCATACAAAATCGCCTAAAATTTTTAAAATCGGACGATAACCACGCCCACATCCCATATAACGGTAATTTAGAGAAATACAAAATCTTCGATAAATCAGTAAATATTGAAGCTAATTTATTCAAAATTGATGCTTGCAACAATTCTTTACCAAGAAATACGTTTATGATAAAATTTTGGAAAATGGGCGTGGCACCGCCCACTTATGATCACATATATGTATCTCAGTAACCGTTCTACCAATTTGTACCAAACTCGGTGTGGTTATTGTGCTTGCCACATATAAGCAAACCGTTGAAAATTATTGAAATCGGACTAAAATAACGGCCGCTTCTCATATAACGGTAAATTTCAGAACTGCTTGAAACTTCAAAATTTCGAAATCTAAGGACTCTAATTTACTCAAAATTGATACGCCCCGGCTTACCATATAGCCGTAGCTTTCGGTAAGGCGAAAAACATATATTTAATACGTGCGCCGGGTATTTAATGTTCGGCTCTGCCCGAACTTAGGCTTTCTTACTTGTTTTTTTAACCTTTTGTGTATCAAATTATACAGGAAATTATCTTTAAAAAACTGCATGTTCCTGGTTTTCCCTCGTTGACATCAAGTTCTCCTGTCA